TTACAAGCAAACTCAGTCAAAGGAAAATAATTATCCCAATTACCTTTAAAGTCGATCGCACAAGCTCTCTACATATCTTCCAAAGTGTAAATTTTCCATTCAGCCTGACCATCGATCTGCGGGTGAAAAGACATGCTTAGTTTAACTTAAGTACCAAGTCATTTCTAAAATGATGTCCAAAATTGAGAAGTGAACTGAGTACCTCTGTTTGAAATGATGGATAAAGGCACTCCATGCAACCTAACCATCTCTGAGATATAGAGCCAAGCATAGTCCTCGGCTGAATAGGAGGTCTTCATAGAAAGAAAGTATGTGACTTAGTAATTTGGTCTACAACAACCTAAATAAAATTATGACGTCGATAAGTACGAGGTAAACTTGTAATGAAGCTCATATTCAAATCTTCTCACTTTCAAGTAGGAATGCTAATATCTTAGGTCATACCCCCCGATGTTTTATGTTCAACCTTCACTTATTGGCAATTTGGACACTTAGCCACAAATTCTACAATATTCTTCTTCATCCCATTCCACTAATAGACTTTCCGTATATCACAGTACATCTTAGTGGCTCCCAGGTGAATAGAGTACCGAGAACTGTGAGCTTCTGATAATATTAGTTGCCTCAACTCATCAAAATTTAGTAAACACAAACAACCTTGGTAATGAAGAATACCATCTCCCCCTAGGGAGAAAGCCTCAATAGCCTTTTCTGAAACTGTTTTCTTCAATTCAACCAAATTCAGGTTATTATCTTGATTTGTTTGAACATTCGACACGAGACGATTCTGAATCACATTGCACAATACCACCATCATTCTTTGAATCGACCAAACGAACACTTCACCAGGCTAGTCTATGTGAACAATACTATGCATGGACAATCCCCTAGATAACTCAACCTAGCAACTTATCTTATTAGAAGCTTTCAGATAGACAGTCAAATTGTTATTTCAACTTTATGGTGTGTCAGCTGAACTCACTTTTGAGTATTCAGTTTTAATCATTCAGACTTACAATTTATTTTAGTTTATAATCTGGATTCTGTTAATGTTTAGGTTAATCTTAGTGTCATTCCAGATCACGGGTTAGTTTGGGATCACTCGTAGCTATATCTAAGTACCGTGTTACGACTAGGGGTAGTCTCAGATCCTGACAAACTTGGTATCATAGTATTAGGTTCAAATGTCCTAGAATGTCTGAAATTAGCTTTAAATTGAGTCTTGTTCATGGGTGTGAAGTGTGCCACACTTTTGACTGAGAGGCTATGAAATGTTTTAGGAAATACATTCATTATTTCATATGCTCTCAGTCGGGCAATAGAGTTTAACTCTATTTAACCTCCTTTTGTTCTAATTAATGCTTTATGCGTTTACAAAATCATGCCTCCTAGAAGAGCTTACATAAAAAAAAAAACATGAACGAGGACCAACAAACACTACTAGCTCCAGCAAACCCTTTGAATGAACAAGCATTGCATGTCGAGTTGAAGGTTGATTTCCATAAGCTAGCTCATGCCATAACAACTCAGTTCAATCAATAAGTTGTGGCCCCAGTCAATCGATTATGAATGCAACGATAGCAAAAGTCTGGTATTTCACTCGGATGAACCCTTTTGAGTTCCATAGTTCTAAGATGGAGGAGGATCCAATCCCACGGCCTGGTGGACGATGGTACAAAATTAGTAAAGACTCCAAAATAAGCAAAATAAATACAGACTTGTCTAGAATACAAAAGGCTAGTCAAAAACTATATACAAATGGAGATGAGTCAAAGTAGAATGTCATCCGCTCACCTCGAACTATAGCTAGCGCACTCCAAAAAATCCCATAACTAGACATCCATCATCATAATGGAATATCGTGGATCGACACCCACATTCGACGTTACAAAGGACTCACTCCATCTCAAGACCCATGTCCAATCCAAAAGATCCAACAAGGCTCAAAGTCACAACCGAATCACAACTAGGTCATAGTATATGGAGATTATGGATGAAAATCTAATAAGCAGAGTTACCATCGAGCTAAGGAATGAGACCCAAGTTTGATACATTAGTCAACAATGAGCTAAGACAGTCTGAGCCGACGTCAGAAGATTTTTCTAAAGCAAACGGCTCCAAATCGCAATTAATGCAATAACTAGTCTAAGTCTAAACTAAGGCCAAGAAAATCTCACAATGTCAATACAATGCATAAAGCATCAACATGGCATGATAGGCATCACATGCAAGGTAAAACATACTTAATTCTCTAAAAAATACTCAAAGATGAAAGCTATGGCAATAATTCTATCAACTAAACATGAATCATGTTAAGAACCCTTCCAACACTAACTAAACATCATGTAAATACCAACACAACCATAGTCTAAGGTCGGTGAGTTGTAGCCTACCTCGATTTCAATCACGAGTGCTCCAAAGTCTACTAAACTAGTGCTTTACCCTTCCAAACCGCCTAAGATCGATGTCCACTATCAAATTAATTATCACGGAGTTGATATCGAATCAATACCCATATTGCAAAATAATATCACAAACCCAACAATTGGTTTGAGATGGAGTAACAAATACTCTGAGTTTAAAAAAAAAAAGACATATTTTCTTATTCGGCAACACTTTTTTAAACAGAGAAAGTATATTATTTCTTTTGCAATTTAATCATAAAAAACGTATATGTATAAATTGAGAAGGTGAGTAATTAAATAGGTTAGGGGGAAATGCTGAAACATACCCATCTCTGGCAAAAGGTAACCAAAGAAAAGGAAAGGAAAGGAGAGTAGAGCTTTATGTCAGAAAAGTCTACAAGGCATAGCCAATAATAACTCCTCAGTCCTCAGTCCTCAGTCCTGTAATGGGAAAGGGAAAGCCCAACGATTCCATCACCACAGCCTTCACAAGACTGACACCAATAATAGCACATAAATGGCCATTTTGCAAATGCCAGAGATCATTTGACTCAAGCACCTTTGACCAGTCCTTTTGCTATACCCTACATATGTATATATATATCTATAAACTTAGGGGTAAAACATGAAGTAATTTCTTTTATTATGGTCGTGTGTGCTTATTTTACCAAGTATTACTCTCTCTATTCCAATTTATGTGATTTGCTTTTTTTTTAGTTAATTTCAAAAAAAATAACACATTTTTATATTAAGTAACAATTTAACTATAAAATGTATATTTTACCCTTAATGAAATGATTTATAGCTATATAAATTTCTATCATTCATTTTGAACCACAAGTTTTAAAAGTCTTTCTTTTTTTTTTAAACTCCGTGTCGAGTCAAACTACCCCACATAAAATGGGACAGGAGTATCATAAAGATTTCAACTTTATTGACATTTTAACTTTAACTTTGTTTTTCCATTGCATGCACTATATGTATCCATTTGACCATTGAATACCAAAGGTGTAGAAATTATAAAACCACGTGTGTATACAATAGTACATCTAGAGCTTTTTAGACATTGGAACTTTTAATTAGCTTTTTGCCAATAAAATTGGTGCAAAACATGAAATCCATAATTCAAAACTTCAAATCCCATTAAAAACAAAAGTCATCACTAAATTATTTCTCTCTCTTTTGTATGACTAAGCATTTATGAACAGCGCAGATTCGATTTAAACTGATAAATAATAATAAATATTCAATAAAAATAGTCATTAATAAAAGATAATAAGGTATTTGATGAATAATTTAGGTGCTTACATCGATTTCAATATCATATAAAATTTACATCTTTGTTGTAAAATGAGATGTATTGATACCAATAGTAGCAACTAGCAAGGGCAGGAAACAAGTATTTGGCTTCATCTGGTGCAACCTTACCGAAGAAAAAAAGAGTCGGATATTGTTTTGATTGATTTAAAAGTTGGACAAACTTACTTTTAAGTTATTTTTAGTTTTTCGAATTATTTGACAAAATTAAAAATAACTTAAAATAAATTTCAAATGACTTAAAAAAAAAGTTAAAAACCAAAAGTAGATCTCCACTTATTTTTTATTTTTTGACTCATTTAAGTTTGACTTTTTATTTTTTGATTTAAAAACTAACAGACTTTCACTATTTCTCGTATGATGATTTAACTAATAAAAATTAACTAATAAAGTTTAGTTATTTTTTTTCATACCAACAAATTCATTCAAGTTTATAATGCTTATCTTTAAAATAATAATTGCTGGAAGTTACTTTAGAAGTGAGGGAAACGGAAAAAGCAAAATATAGTTCCTTAAGTTTGGACTTTGAATTAAAATCAACCTTATTCTTTAATATATATAACACTAATAACTTTCAACTAGTAAAATTTTGGTTCAACTATCACTAGTATTACAAGATAACGTTAACCATCAAAACTTGTGAACGTTAGAAACGAAAAAAAAAAAAACGTTTCGTTAGTGCAAAAAGGGGATTATGAAATCAGTCTATTTATACTTTTTGGATTAGGAGTTCAATAATAAAATAATGTGCTCTATTTATTCATTTTATGAGTATTCTTAGTTTTTGATAATTTATTTAATTTAGTTGTTAGTTTTTTCTACTCCAGATGTAATTGCCAAAACATTAATAATTGAAATGTTAAAGTTTCAAAGATTATTTTTTTCGATGTTGATATTATTTAGTAGAGAATTATTACCCAAATAATTCTACTTTAAAAATTAAATATTCTTCTAATTTTGAATGAGAGTATCCAAGGTAGTGAGGACATTGACAATGATGCCATACATTGCAGAGTCTCGTGTGATAAGAAATAATAACTAAAATTCTCTCAATTGATACTATCAATCATATTAGAAAACCAAAAAAAAATTGAAAAATATTTTTAAAAATAAGCACTTCTTAAGAGCAACCCTTTAATTCGGTATTACATGAGAGAGACCTATTAGGTGGAATATTATCCACAAGATTACATGATGAATTAATTAATGATAAATTATGAGTAGTTGATGATGAGGTATATGTACAATGAATTGTGATTAATTGGTCTCTAGCAATGTGTTTTAGTAGTAGAATAATTCTAGTTAGGTGGAGGTGGTTGGTTGTTAGAAGCTAAAGAAAGGATTGAATTTGCAAGTCTATTGATAGAATCAACAATTCCATTGATGCCTTGTCTATTAATCTCAGCTTTTGATTCCTCAATTTGCAGTCTTCTTTCATGCAAATTCAACATTTCTCTGTGTCTTCTCTCTTCTCCCTCTTCAGATGCTTTAATCGTCTTGGCTATAATCGTAGCACTTTTGAAGATTGCACTACCAACTTCTTGCAAGTTGTTTATGTTATGATGATCACCACTAGTCCCACTCGCTTCTCCTCCTCCTCCTTCGCCTTTTCTTCTCCTCTTTGCTGGTGAATCTGAATGTTCACTTTTATCGCGATCTGAGCTATCACACATCTACAAAACACATGTAAACCAAACACTATGTCAACATTTCAACAGACAACAACATATTCAGTATAATCCCACAAATGAAGTACTCTAGGAAGGATGCACCCTTACCCTTACCTTGAAAGATTAGAGAGAATAGACCCTCCTCTAGCTTGAGTAAATATATTAAAATTCAAGTATGCAAAACATAGATCAATATATTAGGTGCCCACTAATCTTGATATAATTGAATGCAAGGTCCAACTTCAAACAACAACAAATTAAATGACAAGATCTTATTTCCAAGCAAATTGTGATTAGTTATTTGAATTTTTACTATTTATTTTGCTCAACTTTTAACTCCTACTAAAATTTTTGAAGTACAAAATTAAAGTTTTCTATATTCTTAGTGAAATATAAATTTAAGGTCCAGCTACACAATGCACTAAAACCCTACCAACTGCACCCCAAGAGGCCATGAGGATGACATACAAAGAGGGGATAGAGAGTGAGAAAAATGAATTCAATACACAAAGAAGGGTAATAATCAAGAATAATATTGCAAGCTCAATAGAACACTATATATACTAGAATATTTGATGAATCTTGGAAAATTCATTGGCAAAGCTTGAGAACAACATGCTTTTATTAGCTTAATTATACCTAAGAAAACAAAAGGTTGATACATAACTTAGGAGAGTACACTTAATATTATGTTCCATAGAATAAAAATTAGGCAAATGAATTGACCTTCATTGAATATATCAAGTGATCAATATTAATTTCCCAATATGGACATAACATCCAAGTAGAACTTGAATAAAGCTATTAGATTGCAAATGAGAATGGACTTCTCAATAGTACTACTAGTTGGCGAATAGTGACTATACAATTAATGATATATTAAAAAGCTTATAGTCTAGTAGTAGTAATAGAAATTCTACATGTAATAAATGTGACATAAATTCAAAAATACTATAATTAAAAAAAAAAAAGAGTGAGAGAAAGAGTACCTACTGTAGGTAAAGGTTGAGTGTAAGGAATATTAGGTGGTAGTTGTCCAAGTGGTGGTGGTGGTAATAGTTGTGGTGGTGGTGGTGGGAGTGGCAAAGTTGCAATTTGAAGTTGTTGCAATGTGGGAGACATAGAAGTTGTGCTTGGATTGAAAGAAGTACCAACAAGCACTTTTTGACCCCTTTTATCAACAACTTGAACCAATGCTTCATAAATTTCAGGCAACATATTAGTTGGCAAGTTCTTTTCTTTCCTTTCAATCCTTTCAATCTTCCAATAAGACTTTATAATATTGTCATCATCCCCTTGAGCTAATAATAATTTCTCAGACACTCTTCTTTCATATTCCCTAACTTTCTTGAAATCCCTCATGAGATTATCCCACTTGTCATTACATTGATTTTGACTCCTCAAACATCCATGTCTCCAACAATAATCTTCCACCCATTTCCATCTTAATTCTCCTGGTTTATTAATATTTCCTCTTTCACTACTACTATTACCATCCCCTCCTTGCCTTTTCATTCTCCTTTCATCATCCATTTTCTTTGCTTCTATAAGTACCATTGTTTCTTGAATTGTCCAATTCCCTTTCCTATAGTCCCTCAACATGCTACTACTATCCATGCAAAAGAACTCAACTTTAGGAAAAAAGGAAGAGTCTTTTCTTCAAGAAAAGGACAAGGTCAAATGAAGTTTATAAATTCATGTGGATGGTTTTGAAATTTGCAAATAGGAATGATGAGAAGTAGTAAAAGTGAATTACCAATATCTTTTCTTAAAAATTAGTTGCCTTTATTGAGAGCTAGATCTCCTAAAAAATTTCAAAAGATCTTGAAAAGTAAAAGTTCAAATCTAAAATTAGTGATTTCTACCACTAATAACAAAATGAAAGAATAGATAGGGAGAGGGGTTTAAGAAGGTGTGGTCCTTTTTATTTTTATTTTTGGAGAGAGAGAGAGATAAAGCAAGAAACCAATTGATAAATTATAAGAAAAGTCCAAACAAATCCATTCAAACTGACATATTTACAACCCCAAAAAATTTTCTTGCAGAGAGGTGTGTAGGGTGAAGTGAGATGGGATTTGAGGGAAAAGGGCTTAATAGTCATTTGCTGCATGGAAGAAAGAATTTGATGAGCATAATCACACATGAGGCTAAGCCTACCCTCATCAGAACACCAAGATCTGTACACGCACATATAGCTTATAGGAAACTTTATTATGTAATTTTTGTTTGGTACTTATATTTTTCAAATTTTGATTTATTCCTTTAGAAAAAATTCTTTTCTTTTTTTGTTTTTTGTAAGAAGGAAAATAGACTAAAATGAGAAAATACTAAAGTCCCCCTAAAGTTATACCTTTATTTCAAGTAGATTTTTAAAATTTGGTACCGTACGAAATCATTTAAATCCACAATTAAATTATTTTTTTGACTCTTTTACACAACAGTCATGTTATCATGAAACATGAGTGAGTGAAGGTGTAACATTCCGCCTTAAAAAGAACCATTTTTGGAAAGAGTAAATTTGAAAATTTTGGCAAGTTATGCTAATTATGAATTTTGGGTCAATTCAAATGATCATAACTTTCAGTACATGATATGTTAGGTGGCCCATAAGATATCAAATGAAAGGTCTTGAAATCTTCTTTCCAACGCCACCAAGTTTATAAATTTTTGAGATCGTATGAGGGACATTAGACTGTTTGAAGACGGGATGTCTATTTAAGGAAAGTTACCCGGATTTAAGAGGTGTATTTTGGTCTTTTCCTTATCCTATCAGATTTAATTCATTTTTAGTAATTAATTAGGGGTCTAAATTGATTTGATTCAATTTACACAATCCTAAATTATGCTAGGTTTTGAGAAAAAGAGTTCAAGAAGAGAAAAGAGAATAAAAAAGGAGAAAGGTCAGGGCGTTCATCAAGTTCTTGCGAAATCGAAGGTTTTTCTGCGAATTTTCTCCAAGGGTTTGATCCCAAAGAGGTATGTGATTTCACATAGCATTGGGTTCGTTCACCCACACACAAATCATGTTATTTTCAGCGAAATTTCGTTCATGAAGTTAAAAGATTTGAGTTCTTGATGAGTTTTATTGAATTTTCTTTCATAATCATGATTGTTGAGGTTTTGATGAATTTTTGAGATAAATGTTAGTGTTTCAAGGGTAGTTTTGAGAAGATTATCGTATACTAATGTTGGGTATTCGAATCTAAGTGATTGGGAAAGAAACCATTCGATTTTAGGTGAATTGGGGTTAGAAAACGAGGAAGGAAAAAGTCGGACAGAAACTGGCACGCAAGTCCGCGTCGCGAACTTTCTCCCTAGTGAGCAATTTCCCTCTTCGCATCGTGGAGAGAAAGACTTCAAACAGTTTGTTTTAACCATGTTAATAGACTCCACTGTTTCAAAAATTATTTCGCGACCAAATATTATAATTCATCTCCTCGTCGCGGACTTGCTCCCCAGACAGTGTTTTTCAACCGTTTCTCATTATTAACTATCTAAAACTCATTTAATCATCACAATATCTTTCCTATCAGAAATCATAACCTTGAATTCATAATTCGAATTCAAGGTAGAGTTAAGAGTCAAGTCTTGAGAGTTCTTCGAGTCATTTTAACAAGTCTTTTACAAATCTTTTAACTTGTTTAAATGACTTGAGCAGTTGAGTTTGAGAAAGAGTAGAGTTGTATTCATTTTCTTTAAAATGATATACGGGAACTAAGTATTCCCAAGAGTAAATGTTTCCACATTTAAGCAAAAGAGGAAATACCGATTTCCAAAGGAGATCATGAGCAGTTTTCAGTACTTTCTCTTTTTAGAGAAAGATTTTTGAGTAATAATCTCAAACCACAGTAAGAGGAAATGTTTTCTTTAAAACATAATGAGCTAAATATATTTTTGGAGTAGTATTGAGCACCAGAGAATTTATATAACTCACAGCCCCCATAAACCGTATAGCCAACGTGGGTAGAAAAGGATCATACTTTTTAGATGATTTTTTTATTGTTTTTTTTAGCATAGACTAGTAGATCCACTTAGTTAGTAGGTTCTATACCCCGGCAAAGTATATGATAGTTCTGGCAGCGTGAGCTAGACATTGTACCATCACATAACTCATAACGGTGGTTGTCGGTTAGAGAATCTCTCAACAGTTTTATTTTGTGTTTTTGCATACAAACAGAGTTTATATTGTATTTTCTAATTACACTGAGTTGTTATCTACTGTTTAAAGCTTTTCTTTATACTGTATTATTTCTATTGCTTTATATTGAAATGAGGTTAAGTTGAATTGTGATGAGGTAAGTGTTTCTTTCAGTTCCAGTTCAAGCTTATGTCTTGTTTTATTAGATTTCCCCTCACATGCTCGTACATTCCATGTATTGACGTCATTTGACCTGCATCTTTTATGATGCGACCTGCATCTTTTATGATGCAGATAAAGGTAACCAGGATCAACACACAACACTTCGTTGATCCAGTTAAGCTTCAGAGTTGTTGGTGAGCCTCCTTGCTTCCGGAGGATCCCTTGTTTACTTGCAGTCATTTTATTTTGTTAGTAGGATGTCGTGGGTCTTGTCCCGACGTCCATCTCAGTCAGTAGAGGCTTCATAGATAGATAGACATAGTTCATGAGTCTTTTCATTTTCATTTATATATGTTGAAACTTGAGAGGCCACTTTGGCTAGTTGAATGTTTATTTCTAAAACATTCTAAGTTTACTTTTGAGACGGTTGAGTACAGTTTGCATTTGATTTCATTTATTGATGATTAATTCTTTCGCTAATTAGAGTTTAGCCAGGCCAAGGGTTCGCTTGGGGCCAATAATAGTTCTCAAGTGTCGGCCATGTCCAGGGTGTAGGCTCGGTGTGTGACAGAAGGAGTATTAATATAGTGTCAAAGCGGTGTAAAATGTCACATGACACTCTCAATTTGAATTATTTTTTTCATTAAATAGATTCACACTGTTCTTTCCCAGATTCTTCATTGATAGACGTTGGAGAGCTTTGATTTCTTTTTCTTTTTTTTGTTGCTTAAATATGAAATAAACTTATCTTAATAATTTATTGTGATTAGGTTTTATGGGAGACTATTATTATCATGTTAAATGAAAGATTGAATTGCATTTGTAATGACTAGAATGATTCAATAGTGCATATAACAATGCAATGCAAACATGAAGACTTGCTGCAAATGCAGACTTTCTGGTTGGAGGACAATCCAATTAGAAATTTTGGTCCCGTCCATGCTTTTGTGTATGTACGATATATATTTCTTTACTTTTTTAGTTTTTCATTAAATTCACTTGGTTATAGGCTATTTTAGAAAAAAGTTATGTAAGTTCTTTAGATGGAGGGATCTTGAGGATTATTAATATGCGTTTCAATTTTTATCGTCGTATTTGTCATGGTATTTTTTTTTTATTTTGGCATTAACAAGAATGTGAATGATGACAAATATAGTTGTATGCACTTGAAATTGTTATAATTGTCCTATTTACATGTTTGATTTATTTGGTATTTGCATTGATGTTTGTTATCAAATTAGGCTTTGTTGAAGATAAAGGAAATTGAAGACATAGAACATGTTGAACAACCTGATCCAATCAACGTGTACAATAGAGTTAGAGTTACTCTAGGATTAGGTCACTTATATCGACTAAGTTGCTAAGTCTTGTACTAGCTGAAGTTGACTAGGATTAGATTACGATTAGGATTAGTTTATTTTTTAATTGAAGTATTATTATAGTAGTAATAGTTATTGTAATAGAACTCTAATTATAACTAGCTTAGGACTCTACAATTCTCTCCCTATATAAAGAGCATGTACTCAATAATTTTAATCATCAATAAAATCTTTGATTTCTCTAATCCTAGACGTGAGAATTCTACATGGTATCAGAGCTTAAAAGTTCTTCCGCTCTCTGAGTATTGATAAAAAAAACCACATGTTCAACCGCAAGGTCCCCCTCTACCAACACTATGTCGACCTCCTCACTTCACCAACTCATTGCCGCTTGTTCTATTAAACTCAAGACAACAAACTACCTCATGGAGGACACACACATCTCAATTAATTCATATGATGAGATTAACCTATCTCATCACAGAAAATGAACCAACTAAAAATGCATAAAATTCCACAAAATTGTCCATTATCATTCAAGAGTGTTTCGGGGAAGTACAAAGGCGACCTAGGGTAGTTTTCACCTATTTCTAGTGAATCATCTATAGAAATGAGTAAATCACTCACCTAACTTGGTAATTCGATTACTAGGTCTTAGAATGCATGATGGTGACTTTAATGGAGGGCTTGGTTTGATTTAATGCTGGAAAACCCTGATTTGGATGGATTAATCATGAAATTGGCGTGAAGTTTGAAATTATGATATAATTTGGGTGTATTTAGGCAATTTTGGGCTTATTTTTTTGTTATGTTGATTGTTTATAGACCAAGACCAAGCTAGACTTCATAACAAGGGAAAGACTCAGGTTTAGTAGAGCATTTCAAACTTAATTGAGGTAGGTGATGATTGAATTATTTCCCGTTTACGTCAGATGTGCTTGTTAACTATTTTTCTAGTAGTACTTGTACAATATGTGATTAGCAAAATTATAATATCTGGTAA